GCGCTACTGTGACATCTAATGCGTCAGAATCTCCCAGTACTTCAAGTCTAACTCCACCTTCTAAAAGATTAAAGAAGATTAGACAAGAAGAATCACATGAGTGCTCAACTGGAATGTCAACAGCTATTGGATCAAAAAAAGTGGGTGCCCCACTTTATTGGGCGGAGGTGTTTTGTAGTGGAGACAACTTGACTGGAAAATGGGTGCATGTAGATGCTGTTAATGCAATTGTAGATGGAGAAAATAAAGTAGAAGCTGCAGCCGCTGCATGCAGAAAATCTTTGAGATATGTTGTTGCCTTTGCTGGAAATGGGGCTAAGGATGTGACACGCAGGTTTGAATCTTTCGTGCATTTGCAATTGGTTTTTTAAGAAAGGAGTCATTGATTTTGATTGCTTCCCTTATGTATTCTTTTGGTGAGTTCTCTTGAATCTGTTGACCATGTGCACTTGTTAACTTTTGGCTGTGACTGTGCATTCAATCAAGTTTTGGTAAACAGATGCTTATACATGGATATATGCTAAACTTTTTGTTGTAGTGATAACATTCTTGGCTAAGTTCTTTGTTGACTATTCTCATCTCATTTTTGTTGTGTTGGTGTCTCCTCCAGACACACCGATATGTACCATCCTCTTTCCCCTAACTGTTACAGTGTGAAAGTGGATTAAGAATTAGTAGAATACATAGAGACATAGATAGGAATATACACATATTACAACTTAACTTGGAAACTCTGACCTTCGTGAAACCCCCACATAACCGTGCCAGCATAGCCTATTATGCAGCTTCAACTGAAACTAGCACATGGGTCTATTAAGTTAAGGCTGCGTATGGAACTAGGGATAGATGAAAAGTACAAGCCAGTACACTTGCTGATAGCTGAGATACATTCATCACTAACCAGACTAATAATGAAAAAAGGACCCAGACAAGATCATACTTATGAGTTTTTGTATCCAATAATACCTTCTTACATTGTAACCAATACCAGCTTCCTTAAGTTTTGGTGATTTCATATATGCGGCTGTTTCTCCATTCAGATATGGATCTGACACATACTGATGAACTTCTTATATTGTCTTGCTCAAGTCTTCATATGGAGGCGTATTAACATTCTTGAGAGAATATCATCTCAGATATTGCACAAAATGGTACAAGGTAGCAGCACAACGGGTCGATTCAACCTGGTGGGATGCAGTTTTGCGACCATTGATGGAGTTGGAATCGCGAGCTACTGGTGGCATTGTCAATGTGAAATGTGAAGCTTTAAAACACGAGAAAATAGAGGTGTCTCAAGAGTCCCCCGCAAGAAACTCTTTTGCTCCTACCCGGAGTTCCCTTGAAGATATGGAACTAGAAACGAGAGCGCTGACAGAACCACTTCCTACTAATCAACAAGTATGACGGTTTTCCATTTCAGTTAGTATTCCAAGTGGTTTATATACATTCATTAGGAATTTAACATTATGCGTTTTACATTTGTTTTCTTTTACTCCACTTATGGAAATATTCAGGCTTATAGGGGTCATCACTTATATGTGATTGAAAGATGGTTAAAGAAGTATGAAATTCTCTACCCCAAGGGCCCGGTGTTGGGGTTTTGCAGTGGGCATGCTGTATACCCACGCACATGTGTTCAAACGCTTCATACTAAGGACAGGTGGCTGCGTGAAGGGTTGCAAGTGAAAGCTGGTGAAGTCCCTGTGAAGGTTCGATATTCTGCATCAATCTTTTCGGTTGAAAATGTTTCTCAGATTAAACAGCTTTCAAGTGCATATAAAATCTTCATGCTGTTTCTAGTAGGTGCTTAAGCGCTCCTCAAAGGATAATAAAGAAGATATTGCGGATGATAATGACTTCAGTGAGGGTGATCATCAAGGGATTACAAACCTTTACGGGAAGTGGCAGACAGAACCACTGTGCCTTCCTCAAGCTATCAATGGGATTGTACCTAAGGTAGATCCGTTCATAGCTCATACTAAATCCAGACAAGTTAGATGCCTATATGAAGAGATGAAACATTTGCTGATTTTGTTTTCCTTTCATGAAATGGACTGAGAGAGTTGAATTAAAATTTTCCTGGAATGGCTTCTACATGTTGGCTCATTCAAGTGTGTATTTTTTCATTTGATATATAACTCCACGAAGAGGTTGTGATCAGTAAAATACATAGCACATTTATGCTGAAGTTTGAGAAAGTAGTAGATTTAGATGTCCTGCAATATTGCTAGTAGTAGTGACCCAGCAGAGGTAATGGAAAAGAGGATGGGAAAAAATATTTATGGTTGATCCTTTACCAAAAAAGGTGGGCAATTGAGCTGGTTTTGGAGCTTGTCATTTTAGTGGGCAAGTAAGCTGATTTTGGAGTTTGTGTCATTTTAGTAGTATCTTCTATTTTGATTATTTGTTTATTTAAATTGTTTCTAAAATCTGATCTCAATGGCTGTTTCTCTCAAAGCTGCCATGCTGCATTACATATTTTGGAGATTCTAAATTCTTTTTTGTATTACCTAATTCTGAGACGCCCTTACCAGCTACATGTACCATTCCATATAATGCATCTAGCTTTGTTGGAGACTGATTCCAAAACTTTTAATTTACAGAATGAACGTGGTCGAGTGGATGTGTGGTCTGAGAAGTGCCTTCCTCCAGGTACGGTCCACTTGCCCTTGCCAAGGGTGGCTGCTGTTGCAAAAAGACTGGACATCGATTACGCCCCTGCTATGGTTGGGTTTGACTTTAGAAACGGTCGATCTGTACCTTCGTTTGAGGGTATCGTAGTCTGCTCTGAGTTTAAGGATGCTATTCTAGAGGTGAGTTCATGTAATATCCAACCTACTACTTAATTGTTATCATTGCATTTGTTTCTATAAATAAAATCGGAAGCTATCTCGCAATGAACAAATTATACTTTTAAAATCTTGACTGTATTTAGCCTACATTGACCTCGATGTATACAAAATTCGAGAATTACCATGTTTCATGTGAGAAATGAACATAGGTACGTTATTGAATTTTCATATTTTAATGTGAAAATGTGCTGAAGTGCTGTCCCAAACAGATTCCTCTGTTGTGGTCGAGGAATTGTTTGGTTTTAACATGTAAAAATGGGTTTTCATGTGGATTTGTATCATGGAGATGAAGAATTGTTGAGTTTCTTAAATCTTGTTTGCATTAGTAAGGGAAAAGTACTCACTAAACATACTCATTTACGTTTTCCCAATATAATTTAGAAATAATTTCATGCAAAGCCCTAAATTTCCTATTGGAATATCTCTTCATAAATACTCGCTAAACATACCCATTTTGGTTTTCCTAATATAATTTAGAAATTATGTCATGCAAAGCCCTAACTTTCCTATTGGAATATCTCTTCATCCTACAAACTCAAGCCATTTATTAGTTATGTGCTTGTTAAGCTAATTCGCATCTTCAATTAAGTGCGAACTTGACTGTGATTGATTGTTTCAATTCAAGCCATGTGTTAAAATGCAATGCATCTAGCTTTCTTAGTTAAATTTCCTGGCATTTTCAATGTTACTCAAAAAATTTGGCTGAAAATTATGCTTGTCAGGCATATTTCGAAGAAGAAGAGAAAAGAGAAGCTGAGGAGAAGAGGAAAACCGAGACACAGGCACTATCAAGGTGGTATCAGCTTCTTTCGTCCATCGTTACTCGACAGAGATTGAACGAAAGCTATGCAAATGAGACCTCAACGCAATCTTTCTTAGAAATTTCGAGAAATTCGGGCAATGAATGCCTCAACTCATCTAGCCAAAAGATGAATGCACCTGAAGGAAGCCAACAAGTGAACACTAAACCCAACAAATGTGACGGGCCCCCAGAGACTGTGCCCTCAGAAACCCACGAGCATGTGTTTATATTGGATGATGAGTTTGGCGAAGGTGGCTCGACCCAGGTAAAGCGGTGCCAATGTGGGTTTTCGATACAATTCGAGGAATTATAGTTACATATTTCGGGTTTTAAACTATTTAGAACATGACTTGATGGTGAACATCATGTTTCAGTTGTGTTGTCTGTAAGTCAAACATGTGCTTGTGTTGTGGTTTTGGAAATGTAGCATCTCTAATGTGCCGATGTGGATGTAATCAGTTTGTATCGTGAAAGGATTTTATGTTATTATGTAATCACGAATCTAGTATCTGTTTTCTGGAAAATGGTTTGGAAAGTGTTCAATTCAATTTGTCATCTCAGCCAAAAATGCCAGGGCGAATAGATTGTACACTATGAATTTATTTGTTACGTTCTGAACACAAGGTCCAATGAAGCTTTACATATGTATGGGGCAAAAACAAAAATTGCTCAGCACATTTCAAAAATTAAAGTGAATTCCCCAAATAATATGAAAAACCCTACTAGACTGCATGATGCTCAAGTCATGACCACATCATTTGCAACAAATTTTTTCATTGTACTATCCTTTCCAAAGTTAGCAACTGCCAACTCTGGGACCATTTTAGAGGTTGGGCCCTCTCCACAATCTAATAAACACACTTTCTGTAACCCCAATCAACGATTAAAGCGAGAATTTGTAACTTTCTGTCACAAGTCTAACGTCTACATTAAGATAGGAACAAAAAGGCACCACCAGTACTATACATCTCAACTAAGGTCACAAGTCATACATCTACATTAAGATGGGAACAAAAATGGCACCTCTAGTAATAGACATCTCAACTGCCGACTTTTAGCGTAGCTGCCTGCTATTCGGAAGCAATTTACGCAAAACCAAATTCGGATTCCATGTTGGGCCCAATTGCTTCGGCAACCAAATGAGAATGTCGTTATCAGCTCAACACTTTCATATGAGATACAACAGTCATCACAGCAAAAATTCGATTATTCAGATTGCACTAGATATAAAATCACTATTTAACACTACTATTTATATCCATTAACCAAGCTACACCTACAGATTGGCAGGTTTCGACTATTCCATCTGCATGAAATAAGCAAATAGTTGAATTTATCAACCTACAGTGAATCACTTATGCGAAGAGATGATGGGCTAATTTTTGCTACTACACAAAAACAAGCCATATCACTTTCACAACGCTAGACAAGAAAGGGCACGCGAAGTAAACAACATGAGAACAACAAAAGTCAGCCCAATAAATAACACTAGATAAACAGGTTAGGTCATGACATAAAATAGCAGTAGACGAGTACCCCCAAATTTACAGCATGCTGGCCAAACTACACTACACACAAACACCACAAATTATAAAACAGCAATAGAAAGAACACCAATTCAATGAAAAACGCCCTACTAAAACACACATAAAACAACCTCTTAAGTCAAATAGCCAGCCAACACAAACCATCTCATCAGGCATCGGATCCATTCTGGAAAGGCTGCGGGTTGACCTTCCTGGGCCTTCCTCTGGGCCTCCCAGTCTTGGACATGCTTGGTGGGCCAGACGGAGGCTTGGGCTTCTTTGGGGCTGGGGGTGCATTTGGATCTTTCCTCGGGCGGCCCCTGGGCCTAGATGGTGGGAGGATGGTGTCTGGGGGTAGAGGGTCCTTGGGCTTTGGGGGGCGGCCTCGACCACGCTTCAAGGGGGCATCTGGGCCGGGTTTGAGGTAGTTGTTCTTGATGAAAAGAAGTTCACCAATGTCCTTCATCCTGTTCAAATGGTGTGACAGCAAATCTGAGTGGGCCGGGGGCATCTCGCCATACTTGGACTCCATATATTTGGAAATCGATGACTTGTTGGCACCCTCGGCTTGTTTCAGTGCATCTAATGCTTCCATGATCATCTGNAAAATGTTATCTTCAGCATAAATTTCCAAAATGTTATCTTCTTGAAAAGTAGAAGGCAACTGAAATCATTTGCCTAATACATACATTTTGGTCACAATCATATTTGCTTGCGAAAAAAAAGAGAGATTTTCGCGAAGGGCAATCAAGAAAATGAGGGTATCATATAGACTGAGGAAAAGGGTTTCTTCACAGATGCGAACAGTCTAACCATTATCGTTAATTACAGAAAATAAAAAACAATTTTTCAAGCCCTAATTCCAAACAGGAAAGTGAAAAAAAAAAAAGAAAGAAAGAAATTTTAACCCAGGAAAACATTAGGACAAAAACAACGAGCTGATTGAACCACAGAATATGCAAAATTGAAATTAGGTTGTGGCTCAAAGTATACGACATGGCAAAGAAACGTATTTCGATTTTCTAACCTGCGGATACGGAGGGAGTGAATGAGGTCGGTTATACTCTTCGGTCGCCATTGAAGCTGGCAGCCCACCTGTAAGATTATTAGAGAGAGAAGAGAAAATGCAACGGATAGAAATAAACAACACACGATGAGAGAGAAGGCCGAGGCCCTGGGTCAGCTTAATATCACATAGTGAAAAACTGAAATAAAAATAAAAATTATGTTTTGCACACAGGCCTGTATAGGGTTGCACGTTAGGTCAAAACCGAACGGTTAATCGAATTTTCAGTTTGTCAGTATTAAAACTGAAAATCGTGTCGAAAACTACGGTTTTGTTCGATTTCAAACTGTAAATTTATCAGTTTTATCGATTCGATTATCGGTTATCTGATAAAATGGAGAAATGACAAAAAAAATTTACAAATAACAATAGATACTACTTAATAATTTTACCAAAACAAACTAAAATACATAATAATAATAATAATAATAATAATAATAATAATAATAATAATAATAATAATAATAATAAAAGGTCCGTTTTTGGCTCGACCCGTGGCTGGGTACGGCAGGACCCTTGAGATTCCATGCAACTAGCGAACCGCATGCGGAGACTATTTCATTAACGGTGGCTGAGATGGTTAATGACTTCGGCGACTGGAGTTAGGATGGTTTTCAAGATTTTTTTCTCACATCTACACTTCTTAGTATCGCCGCCATGCTTCCCCCACGAGAAACGACTAGCACAGACCACATGATATGGGGTTTCTCCGTCGACGACCAGTTTACCACAAAGTCCGCTTATGAATCGCTGTTACATAGCGCGAAGGTAACTCCTTTGACCCTTTGGAAGCTCATTTGGAGAGTTATGGCGCCACAACGGGTCGAGAATTTTTTATGGCTTGCTAGTAAAGAACGCTTACTTACCAATGTGGAGAGAGCTTTAAGACATTTTATGAACTCGGAAAATTGTGATTTTGGTGGCCGTAGCGAGACAGTGCTTCATGTGCTGCGTGATTGCCCCTTCGTCAAAGAAGTGTGGCAGCGGCTGCTCCTGACGGTACATGTTGCCGGCTTCTTTGAGCAGCCCCTAAGGACGTGGTTCACCATAAATCTCACCAAGTCACGGCTGGGACTCTACGCGAACTGGAGCAGCCTTTTTCCGATCATGGCCTGGCGAGGGTGGGCATGGAGGAATGGCCGCATCTTCAATGGCCGTACCCTGGGTTGCGAGGCAAGGCGAGTAGAGGTTTTGACCTGTTTGGAAACTTACACGCATGAAGTCAAGGCTTTCGCTAAGACAGGGGCGGATATGCATCGGCTCGAGTCACATTTAATTTATTGGTTTTCGCCGGATGCAGGGTGGATCAAAGTAAATACCGATGGCGCTTTTGACAAGCCTTCTGGGCTAAATAGTGTTGGTGGGCTTATTCGAGATGAGATGGATAGATGGACTACGGACTTTCTTATGAATATATGATATTGCACCATAACCAGGACTGAATTGTGGGGTCTTTTCAGGGGCTACAACTTGCAGGCTAAGGGGTTTCGTAGAGTTATTGTGGAGGTTGATAGTCTGTGTGTGCTATAGATGATAAATGGCTTCGAAAGTAATTTTGGGGCGCACGAAGCCTTAGTCAAGGCCATTCGTCAATTGATTCAAAGAGAGTGGCGTATTAGCATTTGACACATGCATAGAGAGGCAAATTCTGTGGCCGACCATTTGGCGAGCTTAGCCACTTCTTGTCCGATTGGCTTTCATGTGCTGGTTACTCCTCCTTCTAGTTTGGAAGATTGGCTCGCACATGATTTAATCGGGGTTTCTTATCCCCAGTTTCTTATCCCCGCCGACTTCTAGTATAATATTTAGGCNTAAAAAAAAAAAAAGGACAATCAATTTTTGAGATTCATTTTTTTTTATTTACCTAACAACTAATATTTTGAAGGGTTAATTGCCTATAAAACCCCAAATTTTTGTTTAATTGCAAATAAAACTCAACATTTTCAACTTTGCAATAAAATACCAAACATTTATTATATATTGCAATTTTGTTTTATATGCGCTAGAAAATGATACAAGTTCTAAGAAGAAGAAAGATACCCCGTTTGGTATGGGACGCCTTAACATTCTTTCATTCATTCCCATCCAATCGCCATTCCCATCCAATCAAAAAAAACTTCGGGAGAATTTGGCAGATTTTTTTCTGGAAGCAATGGATTTTTTTCTGGAATCATAAAACAAACATCTTTTTTAGTTTTATAAATTCTTTTCAAATTCTTAGTAAGAATTTGAGTATTTTTTATCCCTAATGTCGATTTTTTGTATAAGATCAAAATCGAGAATTTTGCAATCAAAATATTTTCTATCGGCCGTTTTTTCCCTTCCTAGATTATTATTTAGATAATTCTTAATCCTATTTGTTTCTCAGCATATTAAAAAAGGTCTTTTTAGACCTGTAACAAATCTCTTGTTTCTTAAAATCAATTTCCGGCCAAGCCTTGCTAACATGTCCGATCGAAAATTTGACGTGGCACCGGAAATTTGACATCAGCTAACGCGTAATAGTCCACGTCACACTTCTGAATCCACGTCATATTTCCTTTTTCTTCCTTTAATACCTGTTCTTCCCCTATTTAGGCTTTTTATCGAGCACTTGGTGTGCTGGAGTTCAATGTTAGCACTTGATGAAATACTTGAACAATTTGCGCCAAAAATGGTATTCTCACACACCAATCAACCACCAATCACGTAGAAGAGCTTCAAATACCTGAATTTGGGGTCGTATCGGAAATTGGAGTCATCAATGAAATAGGAGCCGAAGAAGGAATTTGAAGGAATTGAAGTTGCCGGAGGACTTCTCGCCGGCTAGAGTGGTGTCCGGAGATGATAAGTGTGCCGGAGTCTAGAAGTTGTCGGAGAATATTCGGATAAGTCGACCGGAGATGGTGGCCGTAGGTAACCTAGGGCTTCCGAAAAGCCACGAGAAGGCTGAAAACCTTCGCATAATTCTTGCCTATTGGCCGCAGATGATAGAGTGACGAAGGAACACTGAACTTCTTCTTCAAATCGGTGAGGCGATGGTGAAGATTTTTGAATATTTTTGGCGACTCGCTAAAGCTTTTTTATTTGATAAATGTGGTGGAAAATGGGAAAAAGAACAGGTATTAAAGGAAGAAAAAAGAAATATGACGTGGTTTCAGATGTGTGACGTGGACTATTACGTGTCAGCTGATGTGGTATGGACTTTAAAATGCTCAGTGTCACGTCAAATTTTTTATCGGACATATCAGCAAGGCTTGGCCGGAAACAATTTTATTCAAAAATCTTCACCACCTCCGAACTGAGCTTGGGCTGAGCTCATGTTCGTTTACATTCGAACAATGTTTGTGTTCATTCGTTTATTTTTCGAGCAAAAAATCTTGTTCGAGTTCCTTCGTTTAATTGTTCATCAAAGTTCGAGTTCGTTCGTGTTAAAATAATTTAATACATAAACTTTTTAAATATGTTTGATTAACTCGAAATTTGTTCGTTCGAACTCGAAAATAAAAGAATAAAATAAAAATATTTTTATATTTTAGATTTTTTATTAGAAATATTATGTAAATATATAAAAAATAAATAAAATTATATTAAATTTTAGATTTTTTATTAAAATATTATGTAAATATATAAAAAATAAAATAAAATCATATTAAATTAATGTTCACGAACATAATCGAACGTTCATGAACGAGCTCGTGTTCGTTCGAAACGAGCTTAATTTTCTGCTCTAACTCTACTCGATTAAACGAGCTTCTGTCGAACACAAACAAGCTCGAACAAGTTTTTGTTCGCGAACGTTCAGTTCGTATTCAGCTCTAGCCGTAGGTAACCTAGGGCTTCCGAAAAGCCACGAGAAGGCCGAAAACCTTCGCCAAATTCTTGCCTATTGGCCGCTGATGATAGAGTGACGGAGGACCACTGAACTTCTTCTTCAAATCGGTGAGGAGATGGTGAAGATTTTTGAATATATTTGGCGACTCGCTGAAACTTTTTATATGATAAATCTGGTGCAAAATGGGGGAAAAACAGGTATTAAAGGAAGAAAAAAGAAATATGACGTGGATTCAGAAGTGTGACGTGGACTATTATGTGTCAGCTGATGTGGTATGGACTTTAAAATGCTCAGTGCCACGTCAAATTTCCGATCGGACATGTCAGTAAGGCTTGGACGGAAACGGATTTGGAGACAAAATTGCAATATATAATAAAAGTTTGATATTTTATTGCAAAGTTGAAAAAGTTGAATTTTATTTATAATTAAACAAAATATTGGGGTTTTATAGGCTATGTTTGGTAGACAAGGAATCTGAAAGAGTATAAGGCAGCCTATGAGCTTAAGCAAGAAGACAAGAAGAACATATTTCATTCATTGTTCTTTCATTAAAATTCATATTACAATCCTTTAAAGCTCTAATAACAACATCATAGGCTGCATGGCCAAGCCTCTTATGCCAAAGATCAAAATCACATTTCTTAGACTGAGAGGCTACATTAATACTTGCACTAGGTAACACTTTTCCCTTTGGAGTGAGGTTGATGACTTCTTGTTTTTCTTTTGAACTTGAGAGGTTGAATTGATAAAGACATTCCTTAAGAGTTCCCTTGAGCAGAGTTTGATGAGTATGTTGATCCTTAACAAGATAAGAATCAGAGTGAAACTCAAAATAAACCTTATTATCACTTGCAAACTCTGATACACTAAGAAGGTTTTTAGTAATAGAAGGTACATGAAGAAGTTTGTTAAGAGTAAAGGTTCTGGAACAGAGAGGTGATTTTAGTTGAGCTTTGCCAATATGAAAAATATGCTCACCAACACCATTACCCATATGTAGTCTGTTGTTGCCTTTATACATAGAAACACTTGTGAGATTGCTCAAATCACTTGAAACATGATTTGTGGCTCCTGAGTCTGGATACCAAAGAGACTCCACATTATTTTCGGGTTGAACATTTGAAGATGGAGGAAGTTGAGCTATGTTCAGACTAGGATTTCTGGAAAAACTTCCTTGAAAACTAGATGAGATGGTATTTTGGCTGTGAGGAGAAGATCCACCTTGTGACTGATTCTGAGGAGTAAAATTTGAATCAAACCTATACCAGCATTTGTCTGCTGTATGTCCTGCTATCCAACAAACATGACATATAGGTTTTGGTCCTTGAAATCGACCACCTCTTTCTCTATAACTTCCTCTTGATCTTCCTCCTCTACCTCTGTTTCCATAACCTCTTCCTCTTGTAAAATTCTTATGAAAGTTTCCTCTTTGCTGATTATGAGCTAGATTAAGAGATGGCTGAGATCCATCTGGATTAATATTACCAGATCCACTGATGTTAATAACACCACTTGCTTCAAGTTTGGACTCATAACTCAATAATAAAGCTTGAACATCCATCACTGTCCATGTATCCATTCTTGAAGTTACAGTGATCATAACAGGATCATATTCATTTCGTAAGGCTGAAATGATATGCAAAATTTGATCCTTCTCTGACACTTTGGCTCCCACAGAGGCTAATCAAAGCAAGTCTTCATCTTATTGAGAAAATCCCTCATGCTCAAGTTACCTTTTTTCATAGTCTGCAGTTGAAGCTTGTACTGCATTTGTTTTGCCAAAGATTGACTTGTGAAATTTGTAGCTAAAGCATCCCAGATCTCCTTTGAAGTTTGTAAACCAACCATTTGCACAAGAAGACTCTCAGGAAGAGAAGAAAGAAGCCATGATGCCAAGATTTGATCTTGTTTCTGATAAGTGCCATATTCTGGATTAAGATTGTGGTTTTCTCCATCTTCAATGAATTTGGTAGGTTCTTGTCCTCCAACAATAAAATGCTCAAGTCCATAACCTCTTGTTGCGATGAGAGCTTGCTGCTTCCGAATGAGGTAATTGCTCTCATCAAGTTTAGTTGTAAGAAGTTGGCTTTGAGGATATATAACCTGAAACTGATTCATCGGGGTTGAAGGTGGTTGAAAAGAACTTGTTCCTGTTTCTGACATAATGAAGAAATTTAAATAGCAAAAGAAGATGGTAAATCAGAAGAAAGATCTCCCGTTCTCATACCATGAAAGAAAAACTAATAAAACATAATTTGTGAAAATGATGCAGCTGCACGAGAGTTTCCATAAGAAAATAAAAATGCTTCACTGAATAATCTACATCTTACATCATGTTCTGCTTTTATATTACATGAAGGAAAAGAACTAAAGCAGTTAAAGAAAGATAGATAAGAAATAGCTTCTTATAAAAATAATGGAAGTAGTGGAGCAGTTTTTATAAATGCACTTCACGTTTTGGTTTCATGCATGTGATCATGCAAACCATGCATGTGGTGATCTTGAGTAATGTTAACATATATAATCAAAATATTTACTTATTTAGTAATACAAAATATGAAAAAAGGCAATTCAATTGATTAATAGACTTTTTATTTAATAACATGGATATAGAAATAGAGTTATGGGGTTTCTTATCATTAACAATATATAGTTTTCTTGAAAAATGTGATGAAAATCTAAATATTTGCTATTTTTTTTTTCTAAAAAAACATTAATATTTAAATATAGATCAAATCAGTAAAAGGCTAAAAATTCTATTCTATTTTCAAACTGTAGTTTTCCATGAAACATAAGAATCGATTTATTTTAATAACAATAATTATAGTTTTCAATTTATTAACAAAAATAAATTAAAATCACTAATATGGTAAGTAGATTTTGAAAATTATATTTTGAACAAATTTTTAAGATTTATGCAAGAGAAAAAAAAATGTAGATTTTGATAGTACATTTTATTATTAATAATATATTTATATTTGACAAAAAATTACTAAAAACACAAATATTAGTAAATTATGAAAACTTCAACATTTGACCTAGAAAATGAGTAAACGCGGAAAGTTTGAATATGGTAAAAGTATACTTGTTAAAAAATTATTCCATATTTACTATATTATATTGTTTATATTAACCTTTTATTAGGAAAGAAATATTATAAAAAGAAATAAAAAAAGGAAAAAAAATCCATAGGTTTATTTATAAAAAAAACCTTCTCTTTAGTAGTATATTGATGTATATGTTGAGATGATATACAAATTCATATAATCTTATGAAAATATTATTAATATATATAGTACAGTTTAATTAAAATATACTTCTCTATAGTAACAAAATCCTAATGTGCACAGCGCGATGAATTTCAGAAGATCCTTCTTATGTTCACTAGGAAAATTAATTATGAACATAAGATATACCCGCAATACATTTACTAAATATCATTCCTTAACAAAAACAAAAAGAAAATACTCCATAACTAAAATAAAAAAGAAAGATTATTTTATTTCTATTTTTCTTCTCCAATTTTCTTTTCTAAGGGCATCGTATCAGAATCCAACATTGTTAATTAATTATTGCAATCTCTAAAGCATTGCCATTCATAGCGAGGTTAATGTGATTTTCACCTTTTAATTTTGGAATTGGCATAAGACGCTGATGATATTTATTTCCTAAATATGCATGCACCTGTTTTCAAAAGCCAAATTAATATATAAAGCAGATCTTCTTTAAATTATATATATTCAATGCCTGCATGAACGTCCTTTTGCCTTTCTCCAAGTTCACATATACAATTATCCTTGGACAAAAAACTGGAAAAGGAACACTAATTCAAGCTGAGCATAAGCCATAAGCTAATTACAACTTATATACATTGGCCATTAGCCAGGGGCAATCTACCAGGTCAGTTTTATGTTCTAAGTTTGCTTCAATACTTTTTTTTTTTTTTTTTAACTAAAATTTATAAGCTTTTTCAAAATATGAATGCTCAAAGTCTTATGATATCAGCCTTTTGTTAGCAAAATAATTGATAAACTATTGCATTTTCTGCAGATTTTTGTTAGCAAAATTAATGTTCAAAATTAATGTTGATGGTATTATATGTAAATTCTAATTACTAAATGCAGACGAAAGGATGGGAAAATCATTGCCTAGTGATAAGCGGCCTTTGATCATCTGGTGGCTTGGTGTGGTTGCGCAGCTTCTTATTCAGCTTACATACTCTCAGAATTTTGAAGGGTAAGTTTTATTTCCAGATTAATTGCTTTTTATTATTGATTTAGAAAAATCGCGTTTTGATTGGGAAAAAAATATGGATATGATTATTACAACTTTATACAAAAATTTGTCTAATATATTATAACAAATATTGGAGGACATTTAATGAATTAATAATTAAATGTCCTGAGTAATTTCAAATTATTCCAACCCCCCTAAAGGGAACAAAACTGAAATTAACATTCTATCATGCACCAAAGTCGTTGAAATTAATGCGACTGTAGTTCGTGCCGAAAGACAACCAGTATTAAAACTCTAGCTAGTACAAAAGCACGAGATATATTTATTTAGAAAATATTATATTATAAGATGCAATATTCAATAAAAGTTTATAATACGCAAGAAAATTGTACAATGTTCAATAAAAGTTTTATAATATTCAAGTGGAGTCTTAAAGTCTCTTCTTGACAAAATAATATTTTAATCTATGAGTTTCCTTTCCTTGTAGTCAAATTGTGAATGTGATTTGAGGAGTACAACAAATCGATATATAGCTGCCTTGCTTTTTTCATTGTAGTTTTTTTTTTATAATGAATTTAAAGATATTCTAAAATATAGCAAAAATTTAATTTTTTTATTACAATTTGGAATTTTACTAAATATAAACTCTCAATCTATGGTGTTAATCAACGTTTAAGTCTACAAAATTAGGAACTTTTACCTCTTTTAATCAACGTTTAAGTCTAAAAAACAATAGAGTTATTATAAGTTTTTTTTACATCTTTTAAAACATTAAATATGAGCACTTTATGGCTAGCTTGTAAAATAATTAATATATTATCTCACTAAAACATTTATACTAATAAAAATTTAAATTTAGCATATAAATTTATCCCTTGATATGAGAGAAAGTAACAGTTTTACTTATTGTTATTACTAATTATTATTTAATTAATATATTAATTAAATATATTATATTTAATAATTATTTTATTATATAATAAAAAAAATATTGTTAAATAGTGTAGTAGAATTGTTATAAAATTATATGAATTTTATTTTACAATATGGATTTAATATTTTTTTATGATTTGATAATATAAACAAATCTATACTTAACTTTGACAAATAAAACAAATAAATACTTTAGTAAGTATTTAATGTATATACTAAATAGGAATATATTTGGTATAATCAAATACCAAATATAATCAAATAAGTCAAAATGTACATTTTTATTTGGTATTTGATTTTTTATTATTAAAAATCTTTTTATTATACTTATCTTTTTAAAATAAAACAAATAAATAAATTAATTAAATAAATAAAATATTATAATACCAAAATAGTAATGACATTTAATGCAGTTGACTTTTCTGGATAGTAAATGTAGTAAATAGAATATCCTTTATATAAGTATAGATTGTATAATACGGAAATATTAATGCAATAAATGCTGTTGACTTTTTATGGCTACTTAATTTGGTAAATAAGACTCTCTTTAATATAAGTATTATATATATTAATTTATTATGTGCTTAATTCCCTGATTTCAGACAAACGTCGCGGCAAGAAAGCTGCCACGTGGATGGAGATGTTTCGCCACCTTCTGCATTGCATTTGTTCATACAGAAACAAAACGTAAATTGCTTTTCATTATTCTTTTTTTTTTTCAATAAAAAAATTTAATCGAAGTTTTCACAGTTTTATTTCAAAATTTTCAAAAAATCACCATGAATGAGATATATTATATATTATTAAACGAATTATTAAATTGTTTAATATTAACAAAAATTCTGAACCTATTTATGTATTTAAAACATTTTGTCGCAGGTTATAATGAGCAATGGGATTGTCAACGTGACTTTGAATGTGCCAGATGGCATGGTGACCAGTATAACTTACAAGGGTAGTGACAATTTGCTGGAACCCAAGAATGCTGAATATGATAGAGGGTAAATTTCGCGAAATTTAGCGCAATTACATAAGAATCCAATCACCTTTAAAAAGTTACTAGCATATTTATGCAAAAACAACCTCTTGATTTAGCACAATTACAAAATAATCCAACCATCATTAAGATGTTATAAATATCATTCACATTTGAAGAAGATTCTTTCCCATTTTGTATTCACGGACTTCAATGCGATGTTTGTAGTTTTTAATACAATGGTATGTCTTATACTATTAAATTGGTTTATTATTTGACACTTGAAATTTTTTAACAAATTTATATGAAATTATAGTTGTCTAAAAGCCAATAACATGTTAACAATAACATCATTTGTATTGGACGATGACTGTACTAAACCTCATGTATAATATTTGTCACAATGACTGTTTTCAATATCCCAAAATTGTTCTACTAAATTTGTGAATTTGGAAGCACAGTTATTGGGATGTCGTGTGGAACATACCAGGGGCTGATGCTACCATGTATAGGTAAATTCCTGCTCTGTTCTTTTTTCACTTGCATCAACTGTAATTTAATTTCAAGGCACAGTAAATTACTTTATCTAAGCCAATTTGATTAATATTATGTTTATCCGGACTAGCACAAAATGATGTCAAAAGGATTGAAAGAACCATTGATAGTTTTCATTCTGTATTTCACCTATTCAAATTTCAATAAAACTCATTTGTGTCTTGAATTAGTTCAAATTAACTTGGAAAATACACATTTAAAAATAAATAAATAAATAAAACCGTGCATCTAATTGTTTTGCAGAATGCCAGGAACAAGTTTTAAAATCATAACTCAAACCAACTATCAAACGGAGCTCTCATTCAGCAGTATGTGGAGAGGTGGTGCCTCAACACCTCCCTTAAACATCGATAAAAGGTGAACTATACACACTACAAATAAAACTAACAAAATATTTTCAAGTACTTTGTCATGTACTTTCTAAACTAAAAAAAATAAAAACATGACAAAGCAGATTTGTAATGCTGAGAGATTCCCCCGGATTTTACACGTATGCTGTGGTCGAACGTTTAAAAGAGTGGCCAGCTTTCGACATCCAAGAAGGCAGATTTGTGTTGAAGCTTAAGGATAACAAGTAGGCACAAATATTCTTCGTTTCTTCTTTAATCATTATGAAAAATAATCACTGATACGAATTTATACACGTGTATAGGTTTCACTACATGGCTATGTCTGATGAGAGGCAAAGGATTATGCCAACTCTTAAGGATCGGGAGACAGGGCAAGAGCTTGACTACAAAGAAGCCGTTCTCTTAACCAATCCATCTAATGTCGAGTTGAAAGGAGAGGTAAATTAAGTACTCTTATTACATGTATCAAGTCTCACGGTAAGACGGCCATGGTTAATTTGCTTGAGTGTTGTGTAAATATTTAGGTTGATGACAAGTACTTGTACTCGTGCGATAATAAAGACAACAGGGTTCATGGTTGGGTAAGCAACGATTACGAACCAGTGGGCCTTTGGATGATCACGCCTAGCAATGAGTTCAAGACAGGCGGCCCATTTAAACAAGATCTTACTTCTCATGTTGGCCCAGTTGTGCTTTCTGTGAGTATATTATTCGCATGCGTATGCGTATATCAATTAAATTGGATATATTTAAATTATTTATGACAAACATATTTTCTTGTGGCAGATGTTTATTAGCACGCATTATGCTGGGGAAGATATAGCTCTCAAGTTTGAGACGGGGGAATACTGGAAGAAAGTTCTTGGTCCGGTTTATGTTTATTTAAACTCGGATTTCTTGGCCAGAACCAATCCTAGTGTTCTTTGGAATGACGCGAAACAAAGGGTACTTAATAGTTTCTAGCTTTGACTAGTCCTGATCTATTTATGTTGTTTGCATGAATAGAGTATTTTAAGTTTGAGGGCATATCATTCATTTCCTAGCTTTTTCGTGATTATGATCAGATGCTGAAGGAGAAAGAAAGTTGGCCATATAATTTCCCAGGTTCAGGGGATTTTATCAAAGCCGACCAAAGGGGAGCAGTAACCGGCCAATTGCTTGTTCGTGACTGGTATATATCTAACTTTTTCTTCCCTGATGAAAAAACAAACCAAAAAAAGATAACAAGCAGGGCACGAACCAACCATTTACTCGATGAGACAACACGATTAGATAAGCACGATGAAAACATGGCACCACACGAGTGCAAGAAACTGTAAATTTAGTAAAAATACACTTATTATCATATTCATTGATTAGAAAAATAACAAAAAAAAGCCTTACATTGTATTCTTTCTTTCAAGATAGCACGAACATCACAGACAACAAAATTACCAATCACACGTGATCTTAATGGCATATATACAACTGCATAATTGTCTTTTGTTTTTTTCTTTTTTCTTTTTTGTCCTCAAGGTACAAGAACAAGAAGGCTGTGCCTGCAGTCTCAGCATATGTGGGACTTGCACCACCTGGACCCGCCGGTTCATGGCAATTAGAAAACAAGGTTACTAAAATCTCTCTCTCTCTCTCTCTCTCTCTCTCTCTCTCTCTCATTTTTTACCCTGTTTGTCTCAGGGCTACCAATTTTGGACACAAACCGACAATTCGGGAAATTTCTTGATCAAGAATGTGATACCGGGAACCTACAGCCTGTTTGCCTATGTCCCAGGATACATTGGAGACTATAAACATAGTTCAGACATCTTGGTCTCCTCTGGATCCAATGTTATTGCGACAAGTGTCGTTTTCGAAGCTCCACGAAAAGGCCCCACTTTATGGGAGATGGGTATTCCCGACCGAACGGCTGCTGAGTTTTTCATACCCAACCCCAGCTCACGAATCTTTGCCCACCATTACTCCAGACCTGTTGCAAAGTCAGTTTTTTTTTCAAAATTAGGAATACCATTAGTATTTTTCTCTTATGTATATATATAAAATAAATATTTTTTGTTATGCAGGTTCAGACAATATGGATTGTGGGCACGGTACAATGACTTGTATCCCGTGGGCGACTTGGTGTACACCGTGGGAAAAAGTGATTATCGTAAAGAATGGTTTTTCGAGCATGTCAATAGGTACGATTTTGCATCTCTTAATTAACCTCGTTCGTTCTACTAATGTTACTAGTTACAAAGGTTGATCAAGAATGTGTGCGTGTACGTTTTTTTGGTCAGGAAATTAAGGGATGAACAGTTTGCAGCGACTACATGGCAAATAGAGTTCGACCTGAAAAGTGTGATCAGCGCAGGAATTTACACGGTCCAGTTGGCTCTTGCGTCTGCCAATGAAGCTGAACTGCAAGTAAGTATAATCCTAAAATGCGCATTTTTACATATATATATAATACATATTGTATCAAAATAACAATCTAATGGATATTTGTTCTTGTTTTGAACTTGTACATTGCAAGGTACTTGTTAACGACCCGAATGCGGCCCCACAATTCACGACTGGGTTGATAGGAAGGGACAATGCAATAGCAAGGCACGGTATTCATGGGTTGTACCATTTATATAGCATTGACATTTCAGGTTATCGGCTGGTGGTTGGGAAGAATACTATCTTTTTGAAGCAGGCAAGAAGCCAAGGGCCTTTCAGGGGAGTCATGTATGATTATATACGTTTTGAAGGACCTGCCTGAAAAATATTTCAGGAGACAACTTTTTTATTTTTCGTTCAGTTTTTTGACTTGTTAGGTGATGGAAATACTTCAGTAATGCAGATATATATACCCCTGGTATTTATATGTTGGTTGAGAAAAATATATCTTGTTAAGTAATGGTTAAAAGGTCGACCACTATTTTTTTTTAATAAATTGTATATATATAAAATAAGAAATTATATTTTTATTTTATATTATTCTTAAAATTGATATGAACTTACTAAAATCTCGGTAAGCATGGTTAAAAAAACATTAAAAAAAAATCGGTGCATTCAAATTTTAAAGTCACACACGATTTTTCCTTGTAGAAGTTGCACTCGATTTTGAAATTGAATTGAATTAATTTTTCAAAATAATTTGTTAAGGTTTGACTTTAAATATGAAAGGTGAACCGTTTTTGTTACCAAAAAATGTGGATACGGTTTTAGATGTATATCCCGTTCAAATCTCAATTTTTTTAAATAAAAATTAAACGTGGTTTTATCCAATTTTCACACATTTTTTAAGAGAAAAAATTATTCAAAATATTGTAAGAATTTGTTAAAAATTATACAACTATTTCTTTTTTAAAATTGTATCCAATTTTCACTGTTTCTAAATTAGTTTATTTTTAGATTTATTTTCATAAATAATTAGCACATTTTTTTGCATAAAAATCTCCAAATTTGTTACCAAAAAAATATGATTTAGAATTTGGTAAAAAGATAAAAAAATGATATGAAAAAAATGGAATTCAAATTTTGGCATAAGAATATCCAATTTTTTTTAAAAAAAATGGGATTCAGATTTTATTACAAAATATTCACACGTGTTTTTTTCAAAATTTCCACTAATAGTAAGTCAAGCATTATATTTTTTTGTCAAACTTTCTATTAATGTATTTTTCCAACAACCTCATTATATATATATATAGGGGGCGGATCAAATGCGGCCAGCTCTTAAAATGCGGACAACTCTTAGCAATTACAGACAACTAACCTAGCAACTACAGAGAACTAACCTAGCAACTACAGAGAACTAACCTAGTTGGAAGGTTAGTTGTCAATGGTCAACGTCGGAGTCAACGCCAGAAGTCAATGGTCAATGCCAGAAGTCAACAGATTTTGCCGGAAGTCTATGGTCAACGCCGGAGTCAACGGGTCAAAATAATATTTAAATAATTAAAATAATATAAAGAAAAGAGTAAATCTTGGCCACACATGATGTACCAAATCTTATGGCAAAAATGAGTCNAATAATGATATCACAAGTAAGTACACGAAAAAATAAATAAATTTTAAATGATACGAATATTATTTAAATTTCAATTTACACAACCCAACATATACACACGAATAAAAACCTCTTCTTCTATTTAATTTATTTATATATTTGAATATGTTCTTTTCTTTTTAAATACGAAAAGACAAGAAAAACAAGAAAGTAATTATTAAAATGATTTCATTTTGTCTAAAATATGCGAAGTTCGATTTGGATATGAGACAAATTAATATGCGAAACTTTATTGCATATGGTATATGAGATAAACTAATATGAGATTAATTATTTAATCGCATATCCAAATACAATGCATAATTTACCACATGCGATAAGTTTCACATATTAATTTATCTCATATCCAAATCGGACGTCGTATATTTTAGGATTGTGCGAAATGTTTTTACATAGTTTTCAACTTGCATATCCAAATCTATAACGCCGTATGATTAACGATTACGCGAAACATGTTCCCATATTCTAGAATCGCATAATTTATGACTATATAAATCAAAATTATGCGAAAACAATTTCGCATATATAGTTACCGCATTTTCAAATTGTGAAATTCATTTAAAGATGACAATTTAAAAGTCCATTTTGTTATTTACACCAAACATATCTTTCAACCGACTCACCGGAGCTGTCGGAGGCGGGAGCCTGATTAAAGATCAAATCGGAGCTCTCATTGCCGCCTTCCACGCCCCTCTTCAGGCCTCCTCGAGCAATGACATGAAGGTTCAGGTGCTCCAGATCAGTCTTCAGATTGCAACCTCTATCTATATTCACATTTGCATTGAGATGGATGTTGCCGCTTTCGCCACCCTCTTGACCTCGGGCCACCAGGGCTCGTGGCAGAATCAACACCCACTCATGCACATCAGATCCACACTTCAGTCGGTTTGTTATCATATCTCGCACATCTTCCGCGAGGGGAACCGCTGACATTCTGAACAACCTTGGAGCTACCATTCCCTAAAGGCACATTTTCCACCTTGACTATGCCCCTCTCCGCCTACGTACTTTAGTGTGGATGAACCAACTTGGCTACCACTCATTCATATTTTAGTAGTCATTTTGTGTTTTTTATACTTTGACCCACTTTGTGATGTAAACTGTTCGTTTGAGCACCTCTTAGCTCGGTTTTAGACTTTTCATTTTGGTCGTTTTTTTTTTCCTTTTTTTCATTCTTGTTTGGACATGTGTAGATCNTTGTTAAGAGCATGCTTGGATATAAATTTATTTTGTTTTGATTGGATTTTCGGTTTGGGTTGGTTAAATTTGAAAAATTAGTATGATCAGTTGTTAGTGGATATATTAAAATAGTAATGATTAAAATTAAATTGATGTAAAAGTAGGAGAGGGAAGATGTGATGTGATGATTAGTTAAAATTATGTGAGTTAATGAATCGTGAATTAATGTTTATGTTGTGTGTAAGAATGATTGATTGATACTACCTCCTATGTTTTTAAGTGTCATTTTAGCTTTATCAACAATTAACTAAATAAATGACGTTTTGAATCTTTTGTACATATTTTTCTATTATTACCCTAGCTAATAAATACACTGCGTCTCTTCATATTCACTCTTCATCTTTTTCAAAACATCCATCTCTATGCGGGTTTTTATTGGGAAAAAAAAATCTTAATTACTGTGTAACTTCTCAAAATGACACTTATTAAAAATAGGAGATGTTACTATTTAATTATATTGATAATAGTGGGGTTAAGTTAAAATTGAGTTAAAAAAAATAATTAAGTTAAAAATGATTGGATTTTTTGAATTGAATTTGTATCCGATGTTCTAAACTGTTAGGTAATAAAAGTCTTTGGTCGGCTAAAGAAGACTAGAACAGTCTCAATCTAGCCCATTTCCCGCAATAAATCTTCCCAAAATTACTTCTTAATTACTATACTAGCAAAACAAACCTATAAAGTGAAAAGTTTATCACAAATAGTATGAAACGAAGAAAAAGATATACTGCATAATACGGCAGTCACCTAGAAGACTAGCATTTAAAAATTACACACTAAACAATCAATTAGCAGCAATTAACAACTAAATTAAATACAAATATATTTTTTGGTCATGGTCGGTTGCCCACTTTTTATTCCCGAAACGCATAGGTCACAAATTTCACAACTCACGGCACAATTTTTGGCCTACTTCCTTTGTGTCTCACAAATATTTCTATTTCTATTTATTTTGATCATAAACTAAATTAAAATTAATTCCACTAGAGAATTGCCATATTTTTCTCGTGCGCCTCATGTCAATCAGTGGAGACAAAAAACAGGCACAACCCAACTCTGTCCAAGGAAGGAACACACAAAATACAGAGAATAAAACCAAACAAGCAAAAAAACACTAACAAAACAAGGCAAATCCACCATTCCAATTCATGCCGCTTAGATATTCTTAACAAAGACAAAATATTATTCAACAAAATGAAANNNNAAAATAAAAGGCAAAGAGAGAACACAAACTAAAACAATAATACATGTATTTCCACATACTTAATAATTTACACCACAAAATTATTTTCCTTCATTTGTTTTTTTTCATCCAAAAAATGAAGAAAATGATATCTATCTTTGGTTGAGCAAAATAGGGGTTCTCTCATCATCCGCAGAAACAGAGTTCCTCTTGATGAACTCCAAGCAGTCGGCTATGGCTTCCGAGCAGAAGGAGTTCGAATGGGCCATCGTCCCAACAGCCCGACCCGAAGAATAATTCGAACCGCTGTTATACCCAAATCCCACTCTATAATTAACATTTTTCCTTGGGCTGTCTCCACTTGTTCTGGCAAGTTCTCCCCTAAGCTGTCTGAGGGCCTTCTTGTAAGAATTTCTCCATCTCCTTAAGACCCCGAAAAGAAAGATGAAATTTTTCCGAAGTCTGGACACAGAAAATCTCCTGGGGTGGAGGCGAACGCCGGCCTTCGTTCCTCCTCCGCACCATAACGATTTGTTCCTGCCGATTTTGTCGTAGTTCATAGCAGCAGAATAGGAGCTCATGTGTGTGTGTTTTTTAATGATTTTTTTTTTTTTTCAAGAAAAATAAAAATATTGAAGAAGGCAGGTTGTTATATAAAAAGGTGTGAGGAAAAGAAGAACAAACAGTGGGTAATTTTAGAGAGGGAGAGAGAAAGAGAACCAGGGGCAATGATTTATTTTGGAGCAGTAGTTGGAGAGGATGGAAAATGCGAGGAAAACGATGGTATTATTTGGAAACTTTGTCTGGTCGTACACGTTAGGCAGAGGAATTAAAGTACTTTAAAAGTCTTTTTGAATAAAAATGAACAAACATGTGTGGGAATTGTCTCTAGCTCAACAATGATGTTCGGATTTTGAATTGTCATGATTGGAATATTTTCTTTGTTTATTTAATTGTATTTTTTATAGGTCATTTATAAATAAAGCAAGATAAAATAAAGGGAAGTGGACTTATTTATAAGTTTTCTTGTGTTTTGATTTCTAAATATTGAGTTACATTTAATCTTGATTTGTTTCTTTATTTACCGTAGGAACACGCGTGGAAAGGATCTGAAAGCGGCTAAGGGATATGGACGCGGATTGGACACGAATGGAAGGAGAATAACCTAGATACAGACCAACTAGAACAGATCAGTCGGATCTCATAATTAAGAAAAGTCGTGTTCTAACATGACTTTGAACCTTCCAAATTAAAGGCGAATATGGAAATCTTGAAGACTCATCAA